TTGGGGGAGCCCAGTCATCACACCATGAGGACACTTAAGCAGCCCTAGGGAGAGTCCCACATTGTGAAGACCTGATATCTCCTACCAACAGCCAGCAAGGAACTGAGGCTTAGTGATAGTTTTTTGCTTAAACTTGACTAGGTCAGATAATTCGGTCAAACATTATTCTGGGTGTGCTTGTGAGAGTATTATTTGAATTGGTAGACTGAGTAAAGCTGATTGCCCTCTCAGTATGGGTGCACCACATCTGGATCACCTGAAGACCTGAAAAACAAAAAGTTTAAGAGGGAACTTTTTCTGCCTGACTGCTTGAACTTAAACATTGGTCTTTTCCTGCCTTAGAACTTGAGCTAAAATATTGGCCTTCTTGTGTCTTAAGCCTGTCAACTTTTGGACTGGAACTGATACCACCAACTCTTCTGTACGTAAAGCTTCAGATTTGAACTGGACCTATACCATTGGTTTTCCTGGATCTCCAGCTTGCTGACTGCAGGTCTTGAGACTTCTCAGTCTCCATAATCATGTGAGCCAATTCTTTTTTAAAAATATAGTTTATATAAAAAGTAAGCTAGAGAGAGAGAGAGAGAGAGAGAGAGAGGAGATTCACCTCCCCAAGGTAAGGGAGGGGGCCAAGGCTAGGAAACATGGTGACCCTGGCTCAAGGAGCCAAATGGTCAGACCATGGATTAGCAAAGCAATGGTGAATGGAGAGAGATAGAGAGAGAGAGATATTCACCTCCCCAAGGTAGGGGAGAGGGCCAAAGCCAAGAAACATGACAGTCATGGCTCAAAGAGCCACGTGGAGACACCAGAGTTTAGCAAAGCAATGGCCAAAATCATGTGAGACAATTCTTATTATATATATATAATATACATAATATATTATATATAATATACACAATATATTATATATTATACATAATATATTATATATAATATACATAATATATTATATATAATATATATAATATATTATATATACAATATACATAATATATTATATATATAATATACATAATATATTATATATAATATACATAATATATTATATATATAATATACATAATATATTATATATATATAAAGAGAGAGAGAGAGCGAGAATACATACATACATATATATCTCCATCAGTCCTATTAGTCCTGTTTCTTTGGAGAACCCTGACTAACACAGTCTTTTGCCAACAGCCATGTGAGAGAGCCATCTTGGAAGCCCCAGTTAAGCCTTCAGATGACTAACCTGAACTGACATCTTGACTGTTAATGCATGGGAGATGCTGAGCCAGAACTCTCAGCAAAGCCACTTCTAAATTCTTGACCACACAAAGTATGTGAGATAATAAGTGCTCATTGTTTTTTGTTTTGTTTTGTTTTTTTGTTTTGAATTGGAGTCTCACTCCGTCACCCAGACTGGAGTGCAGTGGCCACTCCCGGCCACCGCAGCCTCGACCTGCTGGGCTCCAGCGATCCTTCCGTCTCAGCCTTCCAAGTAGCTGGAACTACAGGCGTGCGCTACCACACCCGGCTAAATTTTTGATTTATTGAAGAGATGAGGTCTCGCCAAGTTGCCCAGGCGGATCTGGAACCCGCAGGCTCAGGTAATCCACTCACCTCAGCCTCCCAAAGCGCAGGATTACAGGCTGAGCTACCGAGTCCGGTTCAGCTCTCTCTTAATGTCAGTAGTTTGGTGTCTATTCTTCTGGTTTCTGTGCACTGCTCTACAACCTGTGTCGTTTTAACTTAAATTCATCTCTTTAGGACATTTCCAAGTCAGTGGATATTACACCTTGTGTATCCTTTCTGATGCACACACAGGCAACTCACAGTTTGCATGTAACAGTTAATTTAGTCCTCTCTATCTGCTGACATTTAAATCATTTCCAATTTCTTTTGCTGCAATAAAGCTCTGAAAGCATTCTTAATAATGTTTAATTGTGCAAGTATTTTCACTCTTGAAAGCACAAAATATATTTTCTAAAATTTACATATACACATGAAAAACAGAGAAAAATAGAGAAAGTATGATAGCAAAAATGAAAATTGGGCATGGCCTAATGTACAGTGTTAAATAAAGAACATAAATCTTATCCACAACGTTATGCACAATGTAGAAAACAACACGCAATGGACAGGAATCAGACGGCACCCTGCACAATGGATTGCCAGACAAGGTGCTAGTGTTAAGCACATTTTTCCTGGAAGTTACAGTGATTTTGATATTGTTTTAATACTACAGGAACAGTAAAAGTTCACAGAGAAGGCACAGTGTTCACGGACTAGAATGTCCTCAAGAGAACAAACTGTTCTGTTTCCTCAGTAAGATGCACATCTGACGTGCCCCAACACATCATGTTTGAAAGGGAGGGACTCAGGTCATCCTTGAGCCACAGCCCAGGATGTGGCCAAATGCCACCCCCTCGAGGTGGCAAAGCCATCAGTGTCTGCCAGCCAGGGGTGGGTGGCCTATGCCAGCAGGCCAGGCCCAGGAACTCCAACCACACCTGAACCCCCAAAACTCTACTTTTGTAAATTTTGCTGTTTTACTGGAGTTTTTACCCCACTAGGGTAAAAAGTTTTCACTGTTTTAATCCTCTAAAGTTTACAAACAATTATTTTGGCTGGATGGACAAAGGCAACTTGGGAAATGTCAGATGGCAAAGGAAATATTCAGCCACAAGGATTCCTGATAGAAAATAACCAGTGGGCCCACCTGCTGTAGACAAGAGCCCCCAAAGGATGTGCGATTAGCAAGCAAGAGTGTGCAGAGAAATCTCTCTTCCAAGGCACGTATCAGCTACAAAGGGAAAGACAGTGAGTCTGCAGGGGACCAACTCAGAGATGCCACCTACACCTGTGACCAAGGTTCACTGAGGTTTGCGGTAGCTGCATGGAGGAAGACACAGCATCACCTCTGAGGCATTCTGTCCCAAGTGCAAAACCTCAGTCCCACAACAAGAATGTAGCAGACAAACCCAAACTAAAACAATCAACAGCTGGGTGCAGTGGTTCACGCTTGTGATCCTAGCACTTTGGGAGGCAGAGACCAGATGATTGCCTGAACTCAGGGGTTCAAGACCAGCTGAGCAATATGGTGAGAACGCGTCTCTACAATAAATCAAAAAATTAGTCGGGTGAGGTTGTGCATGCCTGTGGTTCCAGCTACCTAGAAGGCCGAAGGATCACTTGAGCCCAGCAGGTCGAGGCTGCGGTGGCCATGAGCATGCCACTGCACTCCAGCCTGGGCAACAGAGTGAGACTCGGACTCAAAAAAAGGACACTCAACAAAACAACTGATCAGTGCTCTATCTCCAACCTGAGGACACGAAAGGGGCCCAAAAAGGGTGAGCAGCAGTCTAGGTTTAATTCACAGTACTGCACAATGTAAATCCCTAGCTCTGAGCCTTGTTCTGAGCTTACAAGACATGAATATCAGGGAAGGCTGGGTGGGGGTATATGGAAACTCTCTGCATCAGTTTTGTACCATTCCTGTAAGTCTAACATTAGTTCAATGCCAAAAAAAAGAAAGAAAAGTTCCTGAACTGTCCAAGATCACACCTGCAGGACAGTACTGCCATGCTCTCAGCCACGGGTGGAAGGCCAGGGGCTTCAGGGGAGCCCATGGAAGCTCTTGGGGGCCTTCCTCTAGCTAAGGGGGCTGCAGCTCCAGGCCTTCCGGGGTCACACACAGGAAATGTTTCTTAAAAGAAATAGCGGAGAAAACAGCTGTGACCAAGTTAAGAAGCACACTTGCCTCAATGTTCACAGAAGCAAGCCAGGTGTGTTCTGGAGGGACAGTCAGCTCTTAAGAGCTTGCCGACCACCCAAGCACGGCTGCACTAAGACCCCCAAACGGCTTGGAGGAAATGGGAAGAGGGGGCTGCACTGTGCCCCATGGCTTGAGGGACAGCAAGGGGACAAGGGCACTGAGGCCACTCCAACTTGGCTTCTGAGGTGGCTGGCCGCCCCGAGGCCTGGAGATCAAGAGTGGAGGTCCAGAAAGATGCCTGCGGAGACATCTCCACCTCAGCTGTTGCAGCCTTTCCCCTCAACTCCTCTTCCCCCTCCCTCTGAGTACCTAATTCCTCAGACAGAACCACATTCAGTGAGCCAAGAGGCAATCCTCAAATGCCAGGGCTGGAGGCTGTCCACCTTCCTATGAAGCGACGGACAACGGCTCTGGACACCACATTCACCCCCTCTCCCGGGGGTGGCCCAGAGCAGGTGACTGCCTCTCCAGGTCAAAGCTCTTCCTCTGTGGATGGAGACATGTGTGGCGCCCGCATATCCTGCAGGCCTGGACCTGGCACCGTGGCAAGCACAGCCCCAACAAGCACGAGCAGTTGTGCAGTCATGACCCAGCAGCCCTGGGCCCACCGTCACATCATACCATATGCCTTCGCAGAGGCAGGAGTGTGCCTAGCTCTTCCTCCTTCTTCTTCATCCTCTGGGTGTGCTCTCTCCATTCCCGCAGCACTCTTTTATCTCTGGAGAAAATATGCCATCATGTCAATGCCACAAGTTCAAAGCCACTTTAGGCAAAATCTACAAAGATGTCAACTTGTCACCTTTATAGCTTCACACAAGCAGCCTTTACTCCTGGCCCACCTGTCTCCAGAAGGGCCACGCTGGGTGGGCATGCACACTTTCGGGTGGGATTCTCAACCACAGTGCCTTTCCTCCCCACACAGATGGGCAAAGCAAGGAATGCTGGGTTGCATCTCGAGGTTCTCTGTGGATGGGTGCTGCCTGCAAGGACTGATGCCGAGGGCCAGCCCCAACAAGTCCCAGTTCCTCAGGAAAAGGCAACAGGACCCCTTCAGGGAAGGGCACGGGCTGGGGCTGCCACTCCAAGCACCAGCACCAGGAGTTGGGAGGCTTGGCCTTTGGGCACCTGTCTACATAAGGTCTGTCTGTGGAAGATCGGAGACTGTTTCTGAGGTCGTTTCCTTTGAGATACTTGAGGTTCGCTTTTTTAAAGGGCATCTTCAGTCTTGTCCCGGTCCCCAGGCAGAATCACTTGATGCCTCACCTCAGGACCTCCCCTGAGGGTGAGAACCTCTTGATGCCTCACCTCAGGACCTCCCCTGAAGCTTGTCACGAGGGGCTGGGGAAGCATGAAGTCCCCGAGAGCCCTCACCAAACCTAGGGCTTCGCCTCTCCAGCCCAGGGACCTTCTGCCTACCTGGATCTCCCATGAACTCCTGGAGTCGTGCCCCCTCTCCATCCTGCCCCCCAGTCTGGCCTCCTCCTCTCTCCCCTTCTCAGCAGACAATGCCGTTGCTGGCCCCGGCACCTGGGCACCGCCTGCGTTATCCTGGTCTTTCCCGCCTGCCTGCACCCTGAGCTCTGCTCTCCCTCCTGGCAGTGGCAGCGGCTTGGCTCTCCTGGGCTCCTCCCAGCCTTCCAACCACTTTCCTGGCGAGGTCTCCACGCTGAGCTGGTGCTACCTCAGATCACAGCCATCCCCAGGCCCCACCACTGCGGCCCAGGGGGTCTCTGCAGCCTTCTCACGTGGGCCCCCGACCCCAACCCCAGCTGGGCTGTTGGGCCCCAAGTCCTCTGCTCGGCAGTGTGTGTGCGTCGGCCCCACCACACTCCTGGACAAGGGACTCCACCTAGTGTCGCCACCTCTTGGTCACACGTCAGGAAGCCAAGGGGTGACGCTGTTCGCTGGGTGACATTAAGGGGACCCAGGCCATGACGAGTTGACCTGGCCGCTTTCCCAGAAGGCCACAGGACAATGGCTCAGGGCTCAAGGCAGGACAGTGAAGGGGGGGATCCCTTGCTTTTTGGATTCCAGAACGCTTTTCAGCAAAGGTGTGCAGTGACGTCTGGGTCCCAAGCCTGATGTTCAGGGCAAGAGTGCGCTTCTGCCTGCTGCGCTGCACCGGGGGCAGAGGGTCTCCCTGCCCATCATGCGGATCACAGGCCGTGGCCAAGAGGGTGGGGGTGAGTGGGACTCACAGGAAGACAAGGTGCAGAGCAGGTGACGGAGGTGCTTACCCACGGTGCCTCGAAGACCAGTTTCAGAAAACGGCGCCAGAAAGTCGGCACAGCTGGAACTGAGGCAAGGGGAGTGGGACCCGCCCGCAGAGAGGAAAGGAGGAGTCGCTGGGCAGCACAGTGGGTGGGCACTCGGCAGGCGGGCGGAGCCAGAGGGACTTGCCTTGCACAGTGGCCACTGGGCCCAGCTCTGTAGAGCCACAGAGGGACACAGAGGGAGGACTGTGTTGACACCAAAGGAAAGCCTTGCAGGTGCTCCCTGAACCGCAGCAGCTGGGGCCAGTGTCCAGTGTGACCCAGAACAACAGGGTTGGCTGATCCTGGGCAGCCCAGGCCACGCCCCCACGTCAGGATGGTAGGCAGGAAAGATGGAACCAGGGGCTAATACCACCCACCCTTTTACTGAAGGAAAAGACAACCAACTACACTGCCTGTCTGGATGCTAGGTGATAGCTGCACACTATCACAGAAGCTGTTTTGTGAGCACAGTTTATCCACAGTGTCACGAAAGAAAACAGGGGAGTGGTTTCAGGAAGGTTTATTCATGAAGGAGAGGGAGCAGGTGAGCCACAGGAACAATGTAAGAGTCCAGGGCTGGCCAGGACCGGGTTGCAGCCATCCCCAGGCCTGCAAGATAGATCAGGCAAGGAGAGCTTGCTGGTACCCGGAAGGAGAGAGAAGGTGGACTGAGCCAGCCTCAGGCAGCTCACCGACAGGCCAGGGGAGTCAAGACTCTGCCCTCGCTCTCCTCCTCCTCCTCGGCCTCCTGCTGGGGGTTCCCACTGTCCAAAGTCAACTTCGAGGAGAGGGGCACAGAGGGATTGTGGATGTGGTCCAGGCTGGCCAGGCTCCTGGGGCCCAGAGAGGGTTGGCGTCAGGTAGCCAGTGGAGCTGGAGGACAGAGAAGCACTGAGGACAGGCCATGAGTGGCCCCTTGGCCAGCGAGCTGTCCAGCACACACCCAATGGGGTGGGGACGCTAGTGGTGGGTCACAGCAACATAAGAATGAACCTCATTGACAACTGTTCCATTTCAAATAGCAGTCCCTAGAAAAGGCCTGGGCCAAGTGAGACAAAAAGAGAAGGAAAGGGTTGAAGGAAGAGTAAGAAACTAAGTAAAAGGACAAGAAAGAAGGCAGGGACCAGCACAAAAGAATGACTGTACACGGCTGCCCCCGTGACTATCCCATGAAGAGGTCTCAGTGGCTGCAAACACACAAAGCCATGTGCTCAAGCACCACGGGAGGAGCAAGTCCACTTGCCAGGAGCAGCCAGCTTCCCCACAAAGAGGAAACAGATCCCATGTCAGCAACGGCGAGGACAGAAGGGACTCAACACTTCCCCCAGGGCCTGGCAATAAAATCGCAACTTGGCCCCAAGTCTAGGCATGCAGCGGGCTGGCCACCAGGCCCCTTGCCTTTGCTCTGCAGACTCACCGTTTCCGCTGCTCCATCAGCAACTGCTTCTCCCGGAGTTCTCTGAGAGCCGCTGCTCGACTCTCTTCCAATCTCTGTGCTCGAATCACTGTCTGGTGCGGTGATGAGAGATCAGGTAAGATGTTCTTGAAGGAGGATGTCTTCCTTCTAAAGTTACACAATGTTTTTAGCTGAATATTTAACAAAACCCTGTGATGGTAATCCCTCCCTGTCAGAGAAGGGACCCTCTGAAAATCACAATTTATTCATAAAAAATTGTGTATTTATTCTTACATGTTTAAACTTCAGGCACCTTCAAAGTACTCTCCATTTGACACAATGCATCTATCGAGATGCTTTTTCCACTGCTCAAAACAGTTCTTCAACTTGTCGATTTTGATGCCGTTTAGTATTTCTGTCATTTTTTTTCACCTCTTCCCCCTAACGTTTCCCTTTGAGGGCATTTTTCATCCGGGAAAACAAAAAAAGTTGCTCAGGGAAAGATCGGGTGAATAGCAAGGGTGGGGCACGGGGTCACCTCTGCTGTCCTGCTGGCTTCCTTTGGGGAGAATACAGTAGCTGGCCGTTTTTGGTCAAAAACTGCTGAACACTCAGCACAGTGTGGGCAGGTTGTTCATGTAAATCATCCATCATGAAATGGGCAACCGTATTAAAATAATCTCCCCCCAAAATTCACTGAAACTGAATGCAGTCTCTCACAACAAAGCTAGCTGGTACACTGATGCCCATGGGTTCCTAGAACACTCACTTAGTAGGGGAAGCCTGTACTACATGGGGCCTGCCCTCCAAAAGATAATTCCAGTTTTGGGGTCTTCCCTCATATGAGACACAACATTACCAAACAAACACTTATAAAGGTGAAAGCAGGGCTTATGGATCAACTGTACATCTGAGCTATCATAATTATTACAAGCTGTAGTTACCCAACAGAAACCCACAGCAATGACCTGTGTTAACTCTAGGAAACATCATAAAGATGAATGGATTGCAGCAGGACACTGCACCCCAAACGACCCTACTGTCTGCCAGCTGCTTTCACAGTCAGCTCAGTCAATGCACCTGAAGGGCGCAACCTCGAGCAGCTGCTCTGGACCCACTTGAGTCTGAAGCAGTGCCCTTGTCTGACCTGGACAGAGGCACCCAGAGAAGCAACAAGGGGGCTTCGCGAGCAGCTCACTTGGGCTGGAAGAACTGGCATGCTCTGGAGTTTGGGTGCAGGGAGTGGGCTTTGGCAGAGTCAGAAATCCCACTTCCGGGTGGCATGGGAATAGGAAGTCAGTGATAGAAAGGACCCTCAACATGTGCCTGGCCTCTGTAAACACATGAGTCAGCTACTGGGTCTCCCTCAAGGGAAGCCAGCAGGACAGCAGAGGTGACAGTCAGTATCATGATAGGGTCACACAGTGCTGAGGACGTCCTCTGCTTGCTGCTCAAAGGGAACTGACAGACATGCCCTGGTACTTCCTTCCAGCAAAATGCCTACTGAAGCATCGAGGCAGAGACGGTGACTCTGAGCACAGAGCTTAGAGCTAACCACATTCCAGAATACAAGGCTTTCTCACTACAACTGTATATACCAAAGTAGCTGAAGAAATACAGCTAGAAGCCCTGTCAAGTCTTCCCTCTGAAACTAAACATCCCACCCAGAGGGAAAGGTCCAGCCCGTTCCACAGCCTGCCCTGGCTCGAAAGCTCACATCAACAGCATGTCCCAGGAGGCCATGTCATAGTGGTCACAACCAGGTGCATGTCCTCCCTCCCACTTATCTTCCATACCCACACATGAATGACAGCAGCTGCTCCAGCAGGGGTCACCCAGGGCACGTGCTGGGTGGTGGTTTTAACACACTACATTTGGGAGAACAGACAGCTTCAGATTCTCGGGAATGTCAGATCCCCCCCCGCAGTGTTGAGCGTCCTGAGAAGGGGGAGGAGCAGCACTGGCAGGCCAGACGGACATCAAGAATCAGCCTGGGCAGGGACATCCTCTAACACTCTAGCTCCATGTTTGATGACTAGGATGCCTTTAATTCCCTTCCCTGATATAATTTGGGATTTGGGGATCAGACCATCACTGAATTACCTATTATCGGATTACCTATCTTTATATTACATTGCTTTCCTGACAAGTATTTTTGACACTGGCAATGAGTTTTATAAGTATACTCAAGCCCGGTGGTCCAGCTGGTGGCTCAAGGTAACTTAGTGTTCTTCAACGCCATGCCACACGTGGCTCACTGTGACTTAGCTCTTAACTCCCTAGAATGCATCTTCAAGAACAATTTTCTGAAACTGTGTGACAGTGGTGTTTTCTGAGGACATATCTGTGGCCTTTGCACATAAACTGCACCTTGGCTGGGAAAGGAATTGGGGATCACAATCAGCTGTCCTCAAAGCTCAACTTGAGCGGTGCCATATATCCTAGCATTCTGTGGGCACAGAGAAGACGTGTGAGGGGCACTTCACCGTTGGTCTCACTCACTCATTCATTATTCAACTGCATTCCTGAGGGCCCAAGTCAGGCAGGGCCAGGGCCACCCTCCTCAGGTCTCCCATGCCCCTCACCGAATCCAGACACACCCGAGGGGACAGCAGTCTCACTTCCGGAGATGGGGGGGGGCTCAGACAGGCTGAACAACTGCGGCTCCCCCTATCCCTGCTGCCCCTCAGCCAGAGAACGCTGAGCAACATAGCTTCCCAAGCCACAGATCACCAGGAAGGCCCCATTGTCCTGAGGACCACATCTCAGAGCTTCTCCTAAACATCTGTGACTCCACAATAACTTGACCAGGTGAAGAAATTGAGGTGTGAATAATAGATGGGACCCTACAACCACCCAACTGGGTGGGGAAACTGAGGCATAGAGTAGTTCCATAAAGCTAGCCCTGGTGCAGAGGCATCAAACCGAGCCATGGGGCAGGGGCTCCAGTCTGAGGCCTCCTGGTCAGAGGTTCCAGTTCTCCACCTCAACTTCCCAAGCCACCTACGCATCTCCAAAGGGCAGGATCTGGTATCTAAATCTGATATACTGATAAAATTATAAGAACTATTAATAAGCTTATCACAACTTACTTCAGTTATTATTCATAACAATAAATAAATAAATAAAGGGAGGGAGAAAAGAGGTTTCTAAGTAGCAGGCTTGTGCATTCCTGCCCTTCCAACACGTGACTCTCTGGACTGGGAGCATGGCCATCGTTTCAGAACCTCCAAGGCCATGCTGTAGCTGGAAACCTGCAGTGCATGCTGCCATTACTTCCCAAGGCCTAATCTGTTAGTAGTAACTTCAAAGACTTTTTTTTAAGTTAAAAAGTGTTCAAGCCGGGCTCGGTGGCTCAGCCTGTCATCCCGTGCCTTTGGGAGGCTGAGGTGAGTGGATTGCCTGAGCCCACAGGTTCGAGACCCACCTGGGCAGCGAGACCCCATCTCTACAATAAATAAAAAAAAAAAATCAGTCAGACGTGGTAGTTCATGCCTGTAATTCCGGCTACTTGGAAGGCTGAGGCGGAAGGATCGCCGGAGCCCAGCAGGTCGAGGCTACGGTGGCCGGGAGCAGCCACTGCACTCCAGTCTGGGCAACAGAGTGAGACTCCAACTCAAAGAAAAAAAAAGCGTTCAAACCTCCAGAGCAACTGAAAGATCAGAGCAGTGAACACCTACCCCCTTCAGGCAGAGCCCACTGGGACGGTTCAGTACCCCAGACACACTGTGCTTCTGCTCACATTGTCCAGTAGGGTGGAGCTCTAGAGGATCACAAACCACTGTGGACTCCAAGATTTCTTCATCCCCAAGAGTTGATTATTGCCCCCTAAGATATGATAACACTCTCCTTGAGAAGGCATGATCTAGGTCTTCCAATTATTACTTTTCCACTTTCTCTGTATATTTACACATATATTTACACACATGCACACCACACACACACACACATATGCACACTGCACATGCACACCACACACACTACACCCACAACTTGAGTTTTTCTTACATGAGACCTCTTGTGGAGCCTGTGTCCCTAGGACCCTTGTCCTAGGTAACTTTAATCCTAACCCAGGGTCAGTATTCACTGCACAGTAAATGATGGCAACGAGAAGGGACATTTTAAAATGTGGACCTGATGTTTTAAAAAGTAATTTAAAATACTTTTATCAATTTGCAAAGATCAAGAAGATACATATTTACTTCTAAGTTTTACCTGAAAATGTGTCTTGGCTTTGGCAGTTCTTTCTCAGTACTTAATGCTGCCTTGAGATTTGGAGGTAATTCAATCGGTAAGAGCTGATTTTCAAGAACTCTGGCTTTTTCATTCTCCACGATTTCCTGCCTCAGCTTCCAGAAGCGCTTGATCTCCTCCTCGCTGGGCCAGCACTCTGAAGAGTCAGTGGACTTTCTGAGTTCACGCAGGTCTAGCTTTTCAACCGGTGGGGAAAAGCCTGCTTTTTCTTTTAACACAGCCTCCTTCAGATGCTGAGAATTAATTCCTCCTTCACTAGATGCACATGCTCCAGGTAACTCCAACACGGGACTGTCACTTAGGTCACTCAGATTCATCTTTGTAGCTGATGACCTCTCTAGAGAATAAAATGCCGCTTTAGTAGCTTCTAGGTCCAACCGACCTCACTGACGAAGGCCTAGAAGATGGGCGGGGGTATCCAGCTTCCCTTGCCCACTGGCTCAAGCGCCCTCTCAATTCCCTGATCATGAGAGTTCTCGCCTGCTCACACAACACCACGCCACTACAGAACGCTGCAGAGTAAATGAAAACATGATGTTCTGCTTGAAGAGGGCCTGGCCTTTCTACACGTCTTGCCACTTTGGAGTCACTTTTTGCATGTGTACACAGGGCAGTCTTGCAACATTTAACCAACATTTCCTCTTCCCCCAAATCATTCAGAATCTTTTATTGCTAATTTTTAGCCCAGTATGCCTGCTTTTCTTGTTTGGTGGCACTTGTGTTGACTCTCTGGAAACACAATGTCAGAGAGGAGACCCAGGTGCCGCGGCAGCCACTGGTACCTGCTATCCCTCTATGTGCACCACACGCTCAAGGGGAGGCTGAGGGGGACCCCGCACAGGCACCACAACAGACCTAAGTGCAGCGACACTGCACCCCTTACTGCCAGACACTCCCGACTGCTACATGCTCGGGCCTGTATTTTTGGTTTTGTTTTTAAAGGAAAACAGCTTTAAAATGGGCAAACACATGCTTTAAAAGGCCCAAAGCAGCTATACAACTCTCCTGGGCACAAGTGACCAGAAACGTGCGTATTTGACCAGTTTGCATGTAGTCAATGACTTGGAGACAGAGACAAAACTGAAATTCATGAAAATGTAAGCAAAGAGGAAGAGTGGGCACGGGTCCTGAGGTATGTATAATGTCCACGTCCGACTCCCACCCCAGTGCTTGGTTGAGGCCTCCTCCTGAGGGTTGATGTGTAATTCTGCAGCACTTCAGGCCTGCCTTGATGTGTGAGGAGGTGGCGGTGAGAGGTGTGTGGGAGGCCCGTGCAGTGGCAGCAGAGGCTGCCTGGAAGTTGTGATAAGAACAGAACAAGGAAAGTAGCTACTGGACCGGCAGCACAGAGGACACTGGGCACCTGGCAGGAGCAGGGGGCAAGTAGCTGAGGCCATGGGTAGCTGAGGAGAGACAAGAGTAGGGGCCTGGAGACAGCCAGGATGAGCAGGATGGAGGGAAGAGCTGTTGGGCACAACTGGGTCTGGGATGCAGGGAGTTCATGGAGATATGGACAGACCCCAGTGGAAGAGTGTCATAAAAGAGAGAAGTTGACGGTTTTGATGAAAGACATCTAAGTCTGCAGAATATTTAAGAAGGTTGAATCTGAGCCAAATGTGAGTGACCTAGGCCTGTGGCACCATCCCAAGGGTTCCTGAGACCATAAGCCTACTATAGTTGAACTGCAGTTGGTTATATACATATCTCAGGAAGACAGAGGTTGGAAAAGCCATAAATCAATACATGTGGGATTCACACTGGTTTGGCGCAGGAAGGTGGGACTTCTTGGGGGAGGGGGCCTTGCAGGTCATAGGTGGATTTAAAGATTTTCTCTAAGGAATTTGAAATCAGTGAAAGAAATGTCACTTAAGATAAGGGGCTGCTTGAGGAAGTTAAGTTTTCTTGATATACAGATGAAGCTTCATAGGCAGTAGCCCTGAGAGAAAATAGACAGCAAATATCTAGTTCCTCTGGGGATCTTGGGGAAGGAGATTCCATACAGATGCGAATTTCTTCAAGAGGTGGCTTTACAGGGTAATAAAATATTTTTTATTTCCTTCTTAATCTGTTATATGATGTCATGCCAGCATGTTAGAAAGTAAGCCTTATTATATAGGCCTAAAAACCAGCCCAATGAGACTTAATAGGGCATGACTCTCCAAGTCCCCTAGTTAGGACTTTGGCAAGAGAGAAGACAAAAAGGCTAGAGTTTAGTCCTCAAGGACCTGCTCCAGATTGAAGGAGACTAAAGGAATAGGAAAGTGGATGTACTACTTGATCCTGGATTAGATCCCAGGCTAGGAAAAATCTAGTGAATGACATTATTAGGACATTTGACCAGGTGTGAGGAAAGCCTGTTAAGTGGCTGATGGAAGTTATCAGTGAGACACTCCTGGTTTTGATGAACGGACTGTGGTTATGTGTGTGTTACCTCCATCTGAGGGTGAAGGAGCAGGATGCCTGGAGTTTCTCTCAACTGTTTTAGGGAATGCGCATGCACACTCAGACCTTGAGAGGAAAGGAAGCAGTCAGGCGCCTGTGGCCAGCAGCAGCGGCTGCACTATTGAGTGTGCAGCGCCCATCAACTTCTCTGTACCATCCTTGCAACTTTTTTTTTGAGTTTGAAATCATTGCAAAATACAAAGTTAAAAATAAGCCCCTTCCCTTATGCCATAAGTCTCCTTCAGGGAGCCAGCCACAGGACTCTTCCTCCTGAGCTGTCTCCCTTATACAAGCCACCAAATAAAGCCTTGTGTGGGAACTGTTTGTCTCACGTCAATTTCTACTACAGGACAGCCTAAGAACCCACAGCTGGTAATAGTTTCAAACATATGCATTTCATTTAAGTATAGAAAGTATGTCTTAAATAGTAACATTTTAGGTATTCTGAAGTTAATGTTTCAAAGTATTTACTTTTCTGGTGGGCATTCATTATGATTCTCCTTTATTGCAATTTTGCTTTACTTTTCTGAGTGTAACTACAATGCCTACACGAGGTCAGGACATATCACGAGCATTTGAAAACACCTAGCTGGCTGGTATGTTGAAAAAGTGGAATAGTTTAGCTAGTACCCACCCAAAAGGTGGTAGAACAAAACATGTTTATAAAGCCATTTTATGCTAATTATCTGTATCTAGCTAAGAATAAGAGATATTTCATTGTGCTATTGATCCCACGAACTTTTATCAAAATCCGCTAGAGATAAGATCTTTAATGGGCACTGAGATGTAAATTCATGAACACAATCAAGGGAAAGACAGAGCTGACTGGGTCAGCATGGAAATTTGGTATGCTACGTAAGCTCAGCAGAGGACAACATGAGGCTCCTCTTCCCATGACCTTCCATAAAGAGAAGACAGGTTCTTTCCTGATTTTTAAAAAGTTCTAACTTCGGTTTTCACGTATCTTGTCATAAATCATAGATCTACAAACCTTGAGAAGTCAAATCTCTGCAAAGGGAGTGCTCTACTGCACAGATCCGCAGGAAGGTCTGGATAGCTACCAATCCCTTCTGCAAAACAAGCTGAGGAGGGAATTCCAGAGGGCAATGTCTTAAGTTCAATGCTTTTAGAGTGGTCACTTTCCCTGTAATACAGAAGAAAAACTACCATAATTTTACATAATGTTCCATGGAATGAAAACAAGAAAGACATAACTGTAACTGTTTTCACATTAAAAAAAAATTATTCTATCAGCATTTGGGATCAAATGATATGACAGACGTACAAGATCTGCTTTAAAACTAACTCTGCTGGGGAGACAGGTTCTACAAATTAAGACCAGGCTAGTTACAAATAAATAAATAAACAAACAAACAAAACAGAAGCAGCAATAATAACCAGGCAAAATTTAGAATACAAAACTGGTAAATACTATATTATCTAAAATGCCCATTTTCAATGTAAAAACTGCAAGACATGCAAAGTAAAGGAAACTGACTATACTCAGGAAATAAGGAGATAACAAACTCTCTATGGGCAGGCTCAGATGTAGGGTTTAACAGACTTCAAAGCTGCCACTTAAACACATTCAAGGAAATGAAGAAAGTCATGTTTAAATGATTAGAGGAAAATACAATAAACTGCCTCAGCAAATATGAAATGCCAATAAAAACAGATTATCTGAATGCTTGGAGACCATGGAAACATTCGTCCCTGAGGAATAAGACTTCCGTGGTGCACAGACTGATCAGGAGGCCAACCTGTGCTGGGCGGCCACCAGCCTCAGGGCGATGCGAAGTGCCGTATGGAAACATTGCTAGGGCCCAGCCCTACAGCATCTTTTAGGGGAGCCCAGGATTCAATGTAAAAGGCAGATTCTTGATTTTTGGAGATCCAGATATTCTACCTTCCAGCTATCCTTGCTTTTTTGCATACATAGTATCAGGTCCTAAAAAACTGCAAATGCTTTGTTGGCCTTGTTCATTAATCCCTGATCTCAGTGGTCCTGCTGGAAAATGGAGAATAAAGTAGAAGCTGCCAAACAACAACTGATGCTGGTGAAGATGTGGAGAAAAGGGAACACATCTACACTGTTAGTGGGAATGCAAGCTAGTTCAACCTCTATGGAAAACCGTGTGGTGATTTCTAAAAGAACTAAAAATTGACCTTCCACATGACCCAGTAATTCCTCTACAGGGAATATACCCAGAGGAATGCAAATCATTCCACAAAAAAGATATCTGCACATGGATGTTTATTGCAGCACTATTCACAATAGCAGAAACATGGAACCAACTGTGCTACCCACTGAAACTGGACTGGATAAAAAAAATTGGTACATATACACGATGGAATATTATGTAGCCATAAAGAAGGACAAACATATGGACTTTGCAGCAACTTGGATGGATTTAGAGTCTATCATACTCAGTGATCTACCACAGAAACAAAAAACAGAGTACCATATGTTCTCACGCATAAGTGGACCCTGAACATTTACCGTAATACTCTAAGAAAGGGATTGGCAGTAGCGGGACACTGCCAGGGTGGGGGTGGGGACACAACATCAATAAGGGTATCTGATCTCAAACCAGGCAAAGTGGGGACCAAAGGGAGGCCCAAACTTTACCTGTACGATGTCCATTTGTATACCTAATCCTGAATTGTATCTCATATCTTTAAGATAAAATAAAATAAAATTTTTAAAAAGTAGAAACTACTCATCTAAATGAAATTGGTCTCCTTATAAAATTCTGTGATGAATTCTTATAGTGCTGTGTTACCTTATTGATTTTTAATCTTCTAACATACTCAAATTTTTTTTTCTCCATCTCTTGAGATGTAAGTTTGCTAACCTGCTTTCTCTAAAACTCTGTAGGGGCTTTAGTCATAACTTGTTTCATTTACAAAGACACAATTTAATCCAACTGTTCTTTCATTTTTTTTGCTGTTTTTTGTTTTTGTATTTAGAGATAGGGTCTCACTCTGTCACTCAGGTTGGAGTATAGAGTGCAATCATAGCTCACTGCAGCCTTAAACTCCTAGGCTCAAGCAATCTTCCTGTCTCAGCCCCTCAAGTAGCTAGGACCACAGATGAATGCCACAATGCCAGGCTGATTTTATTTTATTGTAGAGACAGGGTCTTGCTATGTTGCCCAGACTGGTCTTGAACTCTTGGCCTCAAGCAATTCTCCTTAGCCTCCCAAAGTGCTTGGATGTATAGGTATGAACCACTATACCCAGCCCCAACTGTTCTTTTAAGCTAGTGAGTTTTACCTGACTCATGGCTAAGATTTTAAAATCAAAGCTTAAAATCTTATTGTCTGTACTTTCTATTTGTTTTTGCTTTTTTTTTTTTTTTTGAGTTGGAGTCTTACTCTGTTGCCCAGACTGGAGTGCAGTGGCTGCTCCAGGTCACCGCAGCCTCGACCTGCTGGGCTCCGGCGATTCTTTCGCTTCAGCCTTCCAAGTAGCTGGAACTACAGGCGCGCGCTACCACGCCCGGTTAAGTTTGATTTATTGTAGAGATGCGGTCTCGTCAAGTTGCCCAGGCGGGTCGCGAAGTCTGTACTTTTATGTACACATGTATATATGTCTGTCTGTTGTCTATATGGTACCAAATTGACATAAATAAATGAATACTCATAAATTAACTAGTCAAAATGCTTTTCAAATTCATATACAAATATCTTAAGAATTTTAGACATTTTTGCCTGGGCCTACTGGTTGGACAGACGTATACTGTGTCTCTGATAGATGTTTTAAGGTAATAAAACTTGTTTCTGTGCTAGTTTTACATTTGTTTGGTTTATCTGTGAGCATATGGCTGTGATGTGGAGTCATCAGATTCTGAGGTCTAGACAAGTGGTCATGGTGAGCCTAAGAAACATGTGTGTCTCCAGCACAGCCTTGCCCTCCCTGGCCTAGCTGTGCTTCCTAGCCATGCTGGAGGAGCTGAATCCTCCAGGCATTGGCTCCACAGCTCTGTACTATGTCCTAGGCTCAGCTCTTGTATATCACAATTCAAACTGCTTACTTCCTGGGTATTTTTCACTGACAATCAGGGTTACTAAGGGTTAACAGTGTAATTAGTGTCTGTAATTAAAACTACTAGATATAAGAGAAACTATTCTATATACAAAGTATTTAAGGAAAGTAGGATGTTTTTGATAAGGAAGGTTATAAAGAAGGTACGGGGAATGTGATTTTTGTTAAAGAAAAGTAATTTTGCCTAGTTTAGATGTTTTTAAGGTTGTTTTAAATTGAAGGAATAAAAATGATAGATAAAACTGAATAAACATAGAATGTTGGGAAAATAAAGAGAATGGGAAACATTGTAAGAGGTTAGAAAAAGTTTATGGAAATCTTACTTTGTATGGGCAAAGCTGATTGAGATTCAATGGATCTATTTATCAGGTTTTACTGAACTTAGGTTTAGTATTAATAATACACTGATACAAGGGTAGAATTCAGTTTTATTTTTTAAAATAAGATTTTGAAGGAAAACCAAGCTGGGTCAGTGGCTCAGCCTGTAATCCCATGCTTTGGGAGGCCGAGGTGAGTGGATTGCCTGAGCCCATGGGTTCGAGACCCACCCGGACAACCTGGCGAGACCTCATCTCTACAATAAATCAAAAAATTAGCCAGGTGTGGTAGCGAGCGCCTGTAGTTCCAGCTACTTGGAAGGCTGAAGCGGAAGGATCACCAGAGCCCAGCAGGTCGAGGCTGCAGTGGCCAGGAGCGTGCCACTGCACTCCAATCTGAGCAACCCCAATCTGAGTAAGACCCCAACTCAAAAAAAACACAAAAACAAAAAACAGAGATTGCCAGATTGGATTAAAAAAGTAAAATCCAAATATAGACTGCCTACTGGCAATGTATTATAAATATAGGTAGTTTAAACACAGGTAAGTTGAAAGTAAAAGAAGGAAAAAACATACACTCATATGCAAAAAGCAAGCATAAAAAGGTTGACATGGCCATACTATATGTGCTGAATGTTCAACAGGCACACGACAAAGTTCAACATCATTAGCCATCAGAGAAATGCATATTAAAGCCACAATGAAGTACCGCTACACACCCATCAGAATACCCAAAATAAAAAGAATTACAACACCAAATGCTGGTGAGGATGTGGAGCAACTGGAACTCTCATATACTGTGGATGGGTATTTAGCATGGTACAACCACTTTGAAAAAAGTCTGTCAATTTCCTATTAAGAATGTCTACTTAAGATACAGCAATTCCACTCCTAGATGTTAATCCAAGGGACATGAAAACATATGTCCACAAAAAATTTGTACATAGTGTTCATAGTAGTTTTATTCATACTAGCTTAAAACGAAACTAGAGAAACTTCAGAGTTCATCAAGAGAATGGGTTACAGCAAAACAACTGTGGAATACTCACACAACAAAATAGCACCCAGCAATGAAAAAGAACAGACTGCTGATACATGCAACAACATGGATGAGTCTCAAAAGCATTCTGTTGAATGATAGGAGTCTTAAAATGAGTATATACTGTGTGACTCAATTAATATGAAGTTCTGAAAAGGGAAAAAACTCATCTATGGTAAAAAAAAAAATCAGGTGAGTGGTTGACTCTAGTGGTAGAGTGAGGGCATTAACTAGGAAGGGGCATGAGAGATCTCCCTAGGGTGATAGTTATGTTCTATATTTTGACTGGAGACCAGATTATACAATCAGATGTGCTTTTCAAAATTCACTTACATAATAGGATTTGTGCATTTCATTGTAACTTAATCCAAAGCAAGTTGAAACAAGGAAATAATAAGGCTTAGAGTGAAAATCAATTAAACATATAACAGAAAACTAATAAAAAACAAAATAAAATTTGTTTCTTCAGAAAGAGCAACAAAATTAATAAACTTATACTTTGATTTACCAATAAAAATAGAAGACTCAAACTAGCAAGATCAGAAATGAACAGGGAACATTAATTAAATCAGCCCTTACAGAAGCACCAAGAATGAAAAGGCCGTGCTATGAACAACTGCACGGCAACAGATTAGATCGTGCGACGAAGTAGGCAAATTCTTAGAAATGCACACGCCACCAAAACTGACTCGAGAAGAAAGAGAAGCCCTAAATAGATTACAACCAATACAGCAGCTGAAG